CCTGATTTCTGGATCAATAAATAGTTTTCTAATGGTCAAGACTGTAATCATCATAATGAGTTACCAAGAGGAGTTTTCACATCTCAGGGTCAATATGAAAGAAATGCTCTGCAGACAGTGATGCACTTAGCTTGCAATGAGTGGTTTCTCAGGGAGAGGAGAGAAGTGGAAAATAGTTAGCTGTATTCTTTGATTTTTCTAATTACCTCAGTGGATATTTCTGGACTGTAAGAATTTAAATTCTTTGTGGAATCAGCAAATGAAAGTTCTGTCTTATTTTGCTTTTTGCTCCAAGGGGAAAGCTGACTATTGATTAGAATTGGATAATTAGGGACTAGAACAGAAGAATGTTTTGTAAAAAGTAACATAAAACTAGGGATGGGTTAATTTACAATATTGTTTAGCAACGGCAGTTTTTAAAAACTTTGTCGGGACATATTCAAGAGGATTATTTTAAAATCCCATCAGATATATAATGTTGCGTAATATCTTTAGTCTACTGACTATTCAGACATACACAGAAATAAGCAAGTTTATCATAAATAATAACTTTATATTTTGTCAAATTTTTCGTGACTCTTAACTTGTCGGTTAAATGCTCACACGCCTTTCCAAAACCCATGGAGGGCATGATCAGTTAATGAGAATTGTTTTATTCAGTTAGCACATGGTACAATCCATATTGATTTGTTAAAACCATTCTGGCAATGTGAAATTTCCATATAAGCCATTTATAGCATGAAAAAAATTTTTTACTAACACTATTAATCCTTAATTTAAAATAGCATGCATAGAAATTCCTGAAGATTTAAGATTTTGAAAGTTTTAAAAAATAGTGAGCTATGTCTAAATTCTGCCTTTAATATGTCAGTAGACACGAAGAAGCTAACATTTATTAGATACTTAAAACATATGCCATATACTGAATAATGTGTTTCATGTCAATTAGCTCATTTCATCCTCTTAATAGCCCTGTGAGGAAGGTAATATTATTATCTCCTTTTTACAGCTGAGTAAACGAAAACTTCAAAGTGTTAAGTGACTTCTCAAGGTCATTCAGCTCATTAATGGGAAGTTAGGGTTCAGACCATACATTTTCATTCCTGAACCTACTCTTTTAACCTGTAGTTTATACTAGGTCATTTATCTTATTCAATAAGTAATAGTGATGAAAGTTTTTCTATAATTCTGTTCATATGAGGTAGACCTTTATCACTATTTCTAACTGTTTGGATCACTGAAATGAAAAGGTTCAAGACCATGTGATCTAAATTCTCATAATAAATTCTTTCAGAAGTGTTGCTTCACTCCCTGTTGGGCTGTATTCTCAATAGTCCAAACTTTAAATTGACGACTTAGCTTCAAAAATTCCTCATAATATGGTGAAACCAGATGGATGAGAACTCATGAGCAGAGATGACCACATCTAGGTCCTCTGGTTTGTTTCCATTGTAAGGTGGTACCCCACATACAGTGGAGCGCCCTTTCTATTTTTCCTTCATCTCTCTTGCCCCAGAGACACCTGTTAATGAAAGACCTCTTTGAAGAGATTGTAGAGAGGTTTCATGCGTAAGTAGGTATTTGTATGAAATTATTTTTAAGATTCCTCCCAACCCTGAGAGTCTATGATTCTCATTTAAAAAGGAAAAATCATTATGTGTAAGAGAAGGAGGAGACTTGAGAGAAGGAGCTTCTTGAGCACAATCAAAGCAAATTATTATTATTTTTTTTCCTTCACAAGAAAAAAGATTGCTCGTGAAAATGAAGCTACTTAGATATTTTCAACCAAAGGGTCACCAGGGCATTTCAACTGGCTAGGCAAAATGATGTTCACTTATGAACGTTAGTTTGGTTCACAAAGTCCAGTTTGGGTGAATTTCCCTGAGGCCCCAAAGAAGCAAAGTTTCCAGCGTCATCAGGTTATTATGGTTCCTCCATTTCCATGGAGATAGTCCCAAAAGTATAGGCGATAAGAAAAATTCTTGAAATCGTTCTGGCACATTACTTTGCCCACAGTGGAAGTGTCGGAAAGAGGTAGTTTTTGCCACATATAAACAGCAGCAACATTATTGAGAAGAAATTGGATCGTTATTTTCATCATTGGTGTTACTGTCCACTTGCCAGGCTGTAGTAAGGCGGCCATGGCTGTAGTGAGCCAGGAAGCCAGGGAAGCCCTGATTTGGCAGGTCCTCGCCACAAAGGGGGAAGTGTAGAAGTTCATCAGGAATAGGTTACCAAGTAACTGAAGAGCTGCTCTCAGCCAAAAGCTATTTGGGTTTCTTATGCGGGATATGTTGGTCTTGTGGGATTATCACTGCAAGCAAAATGGCTTGAGAAATGATTAAAATTTGCAATAATGGACACCCTCCCTCATAATTGCTCATATCCAATCTGGAATGCTTTGGTAGACTGAACGTTAGGGAAAGAGCAGTCAGCCAAAAGCAGCAATGAGGCTTGTTTGGCCTTGGCAGAGATGCACGATACTTTCCAGAACTGACTACAGATCAGGGGCTGGGTGAATTCCTCAGTTAAGACTAATTTGGAATTTATATTGTACTTCCCATAAATGCTAATTATATCCTCCTTCTGTCTTTGTACTAGATTCAGGAAGCTTATTGTTCTAACCCATTTTCTAGTTGTCCTAACAAGGGGAAAAGGCAAAGAACAGACAGCCTTTTTGGAACATCAGTATTTTGCATACATGCTCTTCAAAACCCCAAACATTTAATCTGGAGAGAAAGGAGGATGCAAACCTTTGTCTCACTTAAAGGTGAAAACTTACGACTGCATCTGACATCTGTAACCATCCACTATATTACCTTAAAGAACTCCAAAGTCAGAAAGAAAGCAAGGAAAGGTCGTGAAAGCCTTTTGATTTCAAACTCACTTTCAAAGATAAATAATAAAGAACTTTTCAAGGAGTCTTAATAAAAGAATAGTCTTGCCAGTGTGAAAGAGCACATAATTATGTGCTAATTATATGATATGAAAGACGCAGAGGGGAAAGGTGCTGTAGGAACTTGTAAGAGTTGAGGAAAAAAACTTTGATAACATCGTTGGAATCCTCAGGAAAAAAAAGACTGTGATTCACTTCTTTTAATGTTTGGACATTCTTTCTCTGTGGAATATCTACTAAAAGAAGTCACATTCTGCTTTTAGGATTTACAGCCCTTAGCCATTAGTGTGAACTCCAGACCCCAGTGGTCATGCAGCTTTTATTGTCTGGTTCTTACATAAGGAAAAGTGAACTTCACTTGATATTATGAAGATTTTATATTTTCATTAGAAATATTATCGTTATGAATCATGAATCCTAGATCTATTTATTTTTCATATGCGTAAGAAGACATTTTCTGAGTAATTTTTAACCAATTGGAATTCTTTCATCTTTACTCATTTACTTAAAGTGCCTTAAGCAGACAAGAGCACTGTAATTTTTTAATGTCCCTTCAAATATAATTGGATTTTAAGGGTATGAATATGATTTTATTTTGTTGTATAATGCAGTGAAAATCAATCAATATTAAAAATTTTCTGTGCATAAATATTCTTTATTAAGAATGCTCTTATATGATCAAAGCAACAAAATCAAATAGGAAAGCATTTACTTAGTGTGCTGGGCAAGCTAAGTGCATGGTAGGTATTATCTCATTTAATTTCCCCAACTGCAGTAGTTACTAATTAGAGCATGATCCCTGTCCACCTGGAGCACGCCCTTGGTTTGTTTTTGTTTTTTGGGGGGAGGTAATTAGGTTTGTTTTTTAATTGGAGGTCCTGGGGATTGAACCCAGGATCTTATGCATGCTAAGCATGCGCTCTTAAGCTATATATAGACCCTCCCTGCCAGGAGAGTGCCCTTGAGTGGGGGCATGAGGAGTATACAACTGCATTACCCTTTTTGTTACCCATATGCAGCCCACTAGCAATAAACACTGGGATCACTGGTAAATAGAAGTCAAGAGTAACATTGTTACAATAATGGGGGCAGCATCAGCCTGCGGTTCAGCTTCCTCATCTGCAAAAAAAAAAAA